GTCCCTGTCCCCATCCTGCTCCCAGTGTCCCCATCCTGTTTCTGCTGTTCTCATCCTTCTTGGCCCTACCCTACCCCCCTGTCCCCATCCTGCTCCTAATGTCCTTGTCCCCCTCCTGCTCCTGGTGCCCTGGTCCCCATCCAGCTTCTGGTGTCCCCATCCTGTTCTCAGTGTCCCCATCCCTGCCCTACCCTACCCCCCTGTCCCCATCCTGCTCCTAATGTCCTTGTCCCCCTCCTGCTCCTGGTGCCCTGGTCCCCATCCAGCTTCTGGTGTCCCCATCCTGTTCTCAGTGTCCCCATCCCTCTCTAATCTTCATGTCCCTGTCCCTATTCTGCTCCCAATGTCCCTGTCCCCCTCCTGCTCCCAATCTCCCCCTCCTTCATCCAGAGTCCCCCTCCCTATCCTGCTCTTGGTGTCCCCATCCTGTTCCTGGTGTCCCCCTCCCCATTCTGTTCTTGGTGCCCCTGTCCTTCTCCAGGTGTCTCTGTCCCCATCCTGCTCCTGGTGTCCCCCTCCCCATTCTGTTCTTGGTGCCCCTGTCCTTCTCCAGGTGTCTCTGTCCCCATCCTGCTCCTGGTGTCCCCATCCCACTCATGATGTCCCTGTCCTGGTCTTGGTGTCCCCGCCCCCACCCTGCTCCCAGTATTTCTGTCCCCCTCCTGCTCCCAGTCTCCCCATCCTGCATCCAGAGTCCCCTTCCCTATCCTGCTCTTGGTGTTCCCGTCCTGTTCTTGGTGTCCCTGTCCTGCTCCCCGTGTCCCCATCCCCATCCTGTTCTTGGTGCCCCTGTCCCCATCCTGCTTCTGGTGTCCCCATCCCATTCTCAGTGTCCCCATCCCTGTCCTACTCTTCATGTCCCTGTCCCCATCCTGCTCCTGGTGTCCCCATCCCATTCTCGGTGTCCCCCTCCCCATCCTGTTCTTGGTGCCCCTGTCCTCCTCCAGGTGTCCCTGTCCCCATCCTGCTCCTGGTGTCCCCATCCCATTCTCAGTGTCCCCCTCCCCATCCTGTTCTTGGTGTCCCTGTCCTCCTTCACGTGTCCCTGTCCCCATCCCATTCTCAGTGTCCCCATCCCTCTCCTACCCTTCATGTCCTCCCAGTCTCCCCCTCCTTCTCCCAGTATCCCGCTCCCAGTGCCCCCTCCCCACTGTCCCTCTCCTGTATCACCCACCCCCCTCGGTCTCCGATCCCACCTCTTGCTGTCCCCAGCCACGTCCCCCCTCTCCCCATCCCACCTCCCACCCCCCCATCATT